AGTTCTCCTTCTTGGTGCCGCTGACCTTGCCGTTCTTCTCGATCTTGAGAAAGTACTTGTTGTAAGAGTAGAGCTTCCTCTTGCGCACGTCTCCTTGGAGGTGATTGTAGCTCCGCACGTGTCTCCCCGCACTGGAAGGAGAGGAGAAGGACGAGGGGAAGGAGGAGGATGATGAAGAAGAAGAGTTGGTGGCCTCCGGGGACAGCATGTCCTGGCCGAGGTCATGGCAGGTGACAGGCACAGAAGACACCAAGAAGAGCAGCAGCAAGAAGCAACAAGGCAGGTGGGAAAAGGCTGAGGCACCATTTGTCAGTATCCATTTGCACATTGTACTGAAACTCTGGGCGCTGGAAAATGTCTTATCAAATGAAACATACTGGAAGGGTAAAACCTGGTAAAAGGCAAGTGGAGAGCCGGTGGTTGCTGCTTCTGGTTAGATCCCTCTGAGCTCTGATCTGGCCTGAAGTAAGTGCACCAACATCCATAACTCAGGGGACAAATCGCCTCAGAAGTTGCTGCCTTTTAATCCTTCGAGTCCTCCCTCAGAAAAAAAGAGCTGTTGGGTTTTTTGGGGGGGTTGCTGTGGTTAATCCTCTTTCCTTTTTCTCTTCCCCACCCCACCCCCCCACATACACACACACTCCCCAACCTGGTTTGAGACTTCCCAGTAGTTATTTTGTTCTCTTCCTCACTCCTTTCTTCACCATCTTAGATGCAGAAAGGTCTGAAAAATAGATGACAGCAAAGTGAACAACAGCAACAACAAAAATAAATAACCAGCGGAAAGGGGTGCTGGAAGGGATTTGTCACACATACCCCTTTACACGTACGCACACATGCACTCACACTTTGTGGCTTTGCACCTTCTTATGATCCCCACCCCCTTGCCTTCTTGCAAATCCCAAGCCAGTTGCACAACTCGTCCTTTCTCACTGACAACCCCAGAGGAGGCAGTTTCTTTGTTTTGCTTTGAATTCTCCAGAACAGTATTAAAAAAAAAATCCAGAGAGAGAGAAAGGGGAAAAATCCCAACTTGTCTC